GGTAGACGGCTGCATTGACCCTGGACCTCAGGAAACAGAGTGGGCCAACACCGGCAGATGACATGGCACCCCACACCATCACTGACGGTGGAAACTTTACACTGGACCTCATGCAACGTGGATTCTGTGCTTCTCCGCTCTTCCTCCAGACTCTGGGTCCTTGATTTCCAAAGGAAATGCAGAACTTGCTTTCATCAGAAAACATAACTTTGGACCACTCAGCATCAGTCCAGTCCTTTTTGTCCTTGGCCCAGGCGAGACGCTTCTTGCGCTGTTTCATGTTCAAGAGTGGCTTGACACACGGAATGCGACACCTGAATCCCATGTCTTTCATGAGTCTCCTCGTGGTGGTTCTTGAAGCGCTGACTCCAGCTGCAGTCCACTCTTTGTGGATCTCCCCCACATTTTTTAATGGGTTTGTCGTCACAATTCTCTGCAGGGTGCGGTTATCCCTATAGCTTGTACACTTTTTTCTACCACATTTTTTCCGTCCCTTCGCCTGTCTGTTAATGTGCTTGGACACAGAGCTCTGCGAACAGCCAGCTTCTTTAGCAATCACCTTTTGTGTCTTGCCCTCCTTGTGCAAGGTGTCAATGATTGTCTTTTGGACAGCTGTTAAGTCAGAAGTCTTCCCCATGATTGTGGTGCCTTCAAAACAAGACTGAGGGACCTTTTAAAGGCCTTTGCAGGTGTTTTGAGTAAATCAGCTGATTAGAGTGGCAGCAGGTGTCTTCTATATTCAGCCTTTTCAGAATATTCTAATTTTTTGAGATACCAAATTTGGAGTTTTCATTAGTTGTCACTTATGAATATCAAATTTAAATGTAATGAACATTGGAAATACATTGGTCTGTGTGCATTGCATGAATATAATGTACAAGTTTCACGTTTTGAATGGAATTACTGAAATATTTTCAACCTTTTGATGATATTCTAATTTACTGGCCAGCACCTGTAGGTGGGGAGAGCAGAATAGAGAGTGATGAAGAAGGTCATACAAAAGCCAGCTTGAACAAGTGAGTTTTCAGCTGCTTTTTAAAGGAGTCCACTGAGTCCACTGATCTCAGGCTCAGTGGGAGAGAGTTCCAGAGTCTGGGGGCCACATCAGCAAATGATCTGTCACCTTTGGTCTTTAGCCTGGTGCTGCACAACCAGTAAGCTTTGATCACTGGACCTCAGGGACCTGCTGGGGATTAGGGACTGAGAAGATCACCAATGTAAGATGGTGCTTGTCCATGCAAGGCCCTATAGACCAAAACCAGGATCTTGAAATGACCCTGAAGTTGACTGGCAGCCAGTGAAGCTGGAGGAGAAGCGGGGTGATGTGGGTGTGTTTGGAGGACTTGGTCAGAAGCCAAGCACTGGCAGTCTGAACCACCTGCGGACGGTTCAGAGAGGTACTGCTGACATTTGAAAAGAGAGTTACAGTAGTCTAAGCATGAGGAGTTGAAGTTGTGGATAACTGTCTCAAGTTCAGAACGAGACAGAATGGGACTCAGCTTAGCAATGTTCCTGAGATGGAAGAAGGAAGAGCAAACAAGAGAACTGACATGAGAATCCAGGATGAGAGCTGGGTCAAAGGTCATGCCAAGATTCCTGACGGAAGGTTTGGTGTGAGAAGCAAGCTGACAAAGAGAGTCTCTGACTTTGGGAACCAGCTTGTCTGGGGCACAGATGAGGATCTCAGTCTTATCTTCATTCAGCTGAAGAAAGCTCCCAGCCATCCAGGTTTTGATAGAGTCCAAGCAGGTGTGTAACAGCTGCAGCTTAGACATCTCATGGGGCTTAAAGGAGATGTACAGTTGGATGTCATCTGCATAAAGATGGTTGGAGATTCCTTTGAAGGAGCTCAGGATGTGCTGAAGAGGGAGCAGATAGAGGAGGAAGAGCAGAGGCCCCAGCACAGAACCTTGTGGGACACCATGGGTAAGGGAGGTGGTGGAGGACCTAAACTTGGAGACAGCCACAGAAAAGGAGCGCTCAGAAAGATAAGTGGAGGACCCCTCCAGAGCAGTTCCTGATAGGCCTACCCAGTCTCTCAGCCTCTCCAGTAGCAGGTGATGGTCAACAGTGCTGCAGTCAGGTCCAGCAGGACCAGAACAGAACAGTCCCCTGTATCACTGTGAGTCAGAAGGTCATTAGAGACCCTAAGAAGAGCTGTTTCAGTAGAATGAGCTCTACGAAAACCTGACTGGAAGCTATCATAGATGTTATGTTCATCAAGAGCAGCTGTGAGTTGTTTAGCCACAACCTTTTCCAAGATCTTGGAGATGAACGGAAGTTTAGAGATGGGTCTGAAGCTGCTATGGAGAGAGAGGTCAAGACTCGATTTTTTAAGAAGCGGGTGGATTACAGCATTCTTAAAGTAAGCAGGGACCTGACCAGAAGCCAGAGAAGCATTAATTATAGAGAGCACGCTGGGACCGATGGACTGAAAAGCACTTTGAAACAAAGATGAGGGTAAGATGTGGAGGGGGGCTGCAGAGGTCTTCATAGAGTTAACTAGTTTGGTTTACTTAGGCAAAGAAACAGGAGCAAAGCTATCTAGGATGATGGGCCTGGTTGGAGTCAGGAGAGGCAGCGATAAGGCTGAAGGAGAGATGCTAGATCCAACCTTATTGACTTTGTCCACAAAGAAAGACAGAAAGTTCTCACAGTCTGCAACAGAGTGGATGGAGGCTGTAGGAGAGGCAGGAGAGACGATGCTGCTGATGGTGTTAAACAGCACCTAGGGGTTCCCTTTCCTCTGGGACACCAGTTGGAAAAATAGGAAACCCTAGCGTCTCTGACTGCAGAGTTAAAGGGTGTCAGAAGATCCTTTAGGTGCAGCAGATGGACGTGGAGATGGGTTTTCTTCCACGAGCGCTCAATTTTTCTGCATTGGCGCTTTAGGCTGTGAAGGCTGTCATTAAACCAGTGAGTAGGGTTCACTGCAGGAACTGATCTGGTTTTGACAGGACAGATCTTGTCCAGACTGGAGAGGCAGTGCTCGTTAAACTGAGAAGTTAAGGAATCTGGGTCATTATCAGAAAAACAGGGTGGATCAAAAGCAGCAGAAAAATTGCTAGCTGTGCTTTCATTAAGAAAACGAGAACTAACCATACAGCGAGCAGGAGGTGGGGACGCAGAAACGGACAAGTTAAAGAAAATGCAATAGTGATCTGAAATATAAACGTCCTCAGGACAAACACTGTCAGCATTTAGACTCAGGGTAAAAACAAGGTCTAAAGTGTGCCCCCTGGTGTGTGTGGAGCCAGAAACATGCTGGGTAAAGCTGAAGGAGTCCATAAGGCTGGAGAAATCCATGGCAAAGTGATCAGAGGGATCACCAACGTGGATGTTAAAGTCACCAACAATCACCAGTCTGGACAGCTTCACAGTGGAGGATAGAAAGTCACTAAACTCCTGAAGGAAATAACTGTTTGGACCAGGTGGACGATAGACTGCAGCGCAGTAGAACGTGTCCTTACACCCGACTTTAATCAGCTGCAGTTCAAAGGAAGCAAAGTGACCAGAGGTTGTAGATCTACATGGAAGATGATTTCTGAAAACAACAGCTAGGCCTCCACCATGACCAGAACCCTAGGGCTGGCTAAGAAAAGAATAACCACTCTGGCAGGGTTCAATCAGACCAGAATAATCAGATGTTTGCTGCCAAACTTCAGTCAGAAACAGAAAATCCAGGGTTTTAGAGAGAATTAGATCATTGAGCAGGAAGGACTTATTGTTAACAGAGCGGGTATTTAATAGAGCCATGCTGAGTGAGGTGGAGGAATCAGAAACTACAGAAACAGCTGGAGTTAGTGGACGTAAATTAGCAGGGTTAGATTCACGGTGTTTATAAAAACCACTTATGGAGGGAACAGGAGGAGAAACCACTGAGGAATGAGGATAAACCGACTTTAAAAAACTTGGACGGAGAAACCACGCCGCAACGCGGCCTGGCGGGAATGCAGAAGTGGCGCTCAAGTCGCCAAACAAAGGACAAGAAGCTAGAAGATCACGCCGATGTTTACTAGATAAACCACGCTTTAAGACAAGTCTTATTCTCCTGGATTCCTGCTTGTTTACCTCTTTTCCTCCGGCGTGTTCCCGGGACCGGATAAACATCTCTGGAGGCGCCCTGGTAGGAATCGTCGATTGGCTCTGGGCCAGTGCGTCACTCAGATAAACAAACAGGGAGCTACATCCAATGTGTGTCTTGGGCGATCGTGAACGACGATGGACAAAAGAGTCTGGCGATCATAGGAGATGGTAGCAGGGACACTACTGAAGAGGATCACAGACAGGAGCAAGGTGGAAAAGAGGAGGTTAGGGGAGAAAAGTTTGAAAAAGTGGCCAGTGACTGCGGCTAAGCCAAGCACAGGCGCCATCTTGTTACCGGCCGGAAGCGGGAAAAAAGGCCTATAAACAACAATAATTAAGATCAGACTTGTTTTTAAAAGGCCAAAATCAGTTTTAGTCTTATTTACAGAAGGTTAGATATTAATGATATTGAAATGTTTATTTTGGTGCTTAATTATGTTCTACGCTCCATCTTTTCACAGGCAGTTTCTCCATGGCCTCAAAATGTCACGTTGTGGCTGCAGCTGTGTTTGTGTTTTTCTGACCATCATGTCACTCAAGTTTCTGTATTTGCTGCTTGTCAAAAACACCTGATTAAAATCCGCTGTAGTAGATTGTAGTGAAACTCTGGCTGATCAGCCAAGTTTTATTTTGAAGGACACGGTTTACCTTTTCCACATCAAACATCCTTTAAATGATTAACGTTTCAGGATTTTTGTGTTTGCTGTAAGAAGAACAGGGAGGGACAGTCGCTTTGACCCAGATGTACCTTATAGGAATGAAGATAATACAAATGCTTCAAATACTACCCAGTCCTCACAGTCAGAAAGTCACATGATCCAAACCTGATTGTGTTCTCATGCATGCTTGGATACAGACGATACATGCTTTGTAATAAATGCTACTGTTTGTGATCCTTCCCTTTTGTGTCAAAGGGTGATCAATGCTGGAAAGAGCTCCCTGAACGAGGACCAGGCTTGTTGCGAGGTGCTGGTTGTCAAGCGGAGACCTTCTGGAGGCACCACACCTGGCCAGATCTCAATGACCCGCAGGAGGTCCTCCTTACCTAACGGAGAGGGCCTTAGCCTCCGGGATGACCGGGTAAGAGAAACAGAAGAAACCTTAACTCTTTCTACCACTTTCTTACAAAATGCACATCTGGAAATTTTCTTTTAAATCCACCTTCTAGAGTAGCGGAATGTCACACCTGATGGAATAGCGAACAAAGTGAATTTAATTCCTGTACATCCCTGGGTCTGGTTGATAGGATCCAGGTTTGGGGCACACGGCTTCAGCTTCCTGTAGCTCTCATAGACAAAAGGCCTTTCAGAGGTGCACTGTGTCTGACGCACACCAATTCATTATGCAACTGCAGATTTGTTAGACAGATTGAGAATCCAAATTACAGAAATTACTTGTTTTTCTATTTTTAATAAATCTCCAGTTTCAAGTATGTTGTGCTTATTTCAAAGAAACAGTAATATTTTCTCCCAGCCTATCTGACTGCATCTAGGTCTACCCAGAGCCTAGAGCCCAGCTCATGCAACCAACACCGGTCCAATATGAGTGGTCTCTTTGCAAGCCGCTGCAGAATCTGCCTGCTCTATATTTAGAGAACAAGGTTAAGTTTGTGCATAAATTCATCAAAAATCCTCAGCAAAAACAAAAATGCAGCAGACTCAAGTTTTCTGCTTTTAGTTCATAAATGAATGTGTGTGATTTGTGTCCAGACGTGCTTTGTGTGTAGTGTATTTTTAAATAAAACTGAAGCACAAAACAGTGTTTATTAAAAAAGGAAGAATAAAAGAGGTGTTGCCTAATAAGATCACTGGGAGTTTGGTTTAAACGGTACGACAGAGGTGGCCTTTGAAGACAAGCACAGACATCTGGTGTATTTGTTCTGTTTAAACCTGCAAAGGAAAACAATGGTTTAGCCCGGGGGCTGGGGTTTGGGTTCCATCCCTCTCTGCTGTGCTTCAGCTCTGTTTTTTCTGATATTGAGATAACTTTTAGAAGTATTTGTTTTGTTTTAGCTACAATTTTATCAATTCTCTGAAACTGTTGATTGGTCAGTTATGAAAATGTGTTTATCAGACTGCAGGAGGGCTAACTAAGCTGTAGAGAATAGCCAGGAAAGCTTGTAGACATAATGATGGGCTGAGTCACATTTACTCAGATTTGATCTGAACAGCTGATTATGTAGAACTGACACAGAATCATTTTATTAATAAAAGAGAAAGACTTTAAAACATTCATGTAACCCTGCATGTTGGATCTCCCTTGTCTGCAGGACAGCTCTGAAAGCCTATCCTTCCACTACTGGGCGTTGTTTGACGGCCATGCCGGCTTCGGGGCGGCTGTAGTGGCGTCCCGTCTCCTCCATCATCACATCGCTCTGCACCTTCAGGAAGTTTTGGAGATTCTCTGTACGCCCAATATGGTCCCGCCCACCTGTATGGACGAGGAGCCCATAAACCATCTTCTGACTGCGTCTCATCGCTCCCTTACCAGGGCAGCATCGCTTCGGGGGGCTGCAGGTGCCCCAGGGTCCCCCAGCACAGCACCTCCACGCTTCTTTTTTGAGAAGAAAGTGTCACACGAGAGCTTGGTGATAGGCGCCATAGAGAATGCCTTTAAGGAAATGGTGAGAACTTCCTGATTTCCTATAATTTTGTGGCTCAACTTTCTAAACTACAATCACTCAAATCCTCTGCTTCTATTCCCGGTTTTCTGTGTGGGCTGAAGCTGTGCAGGAACCGATGATTAAAAGACAACAATAAAAGGCTTTTCAAGGGGGGAAAAGTATTTCCTAATTGTGTGCTTAAAAATAGCTTGTTGTGAATAACCTTACAAAGCATGAACAATTCCTCAAGAATTAACTGGAATGTAACCGAAAACACAAATGGAAACTGTAGCTAACCCAAACCCTCAACTCCAGTTAAGACGTGACTGATTAAAAACTAAAAAAATGATAATAAATAACTAAATTTAGAGTAAAATGCCTCCTGCAAAGAAAGATAGAAGTCCAGGCTCCACATTGGTGGCCTTGCTGACTGACAAGTATCACTACTTTCTGCCTTGAAACCACCAAAAATAAACTTTCTTCTCATTCTTGGTCTTTCAAAAATGATTCAGGAAGGTGGCAGTCTGTTACATCAGCCTGAATATGTCACCATCCGATTTCCATCCATGATCTTCCTCTTATCCACAGTCAGGTCATGGGTGGCAGCAGTCTAAACAGAGAGACCCACACTGTAAAAAAATGTCAGTAAAATATACAGTGAAACCGTCAAATTCCACCTTGGTCCATCATCTCCACCATCACACCGTGACAACGGTAATGGAGTATACAACCCAAAATTTCATTTTACCGTATTACATAGATTCAATAACCGTTAACTGTGAGAATGAATAAAACTGTTTTTTACAGTAATAAAATGCTGAAATTATAATTATTTTCTGTGAAAATAAATAAATATACATACATTTTACAATTAAAATTTGTAACGTTGAAAATGTCTGGAAATCTTTAATTTTTCGGTATCATTCAAGTAAAACTACATCTTTTGGGGTGTTGCACATTGGAATTCACAGTATAAATCTGTAGATTTTCAAGCAAACAAAAACGTTCATTTTTACAGAAGCAAGATGTTAATAATAGGGTCCACCGTAATAACACAACCAGTAAATACCATAAAAAAGCAATTATCATCAGTAAAAGACAATACAATTGATAGTAGGCTATTTTTCATTTTAAAAATCTGTACATCAGTAGGCCTATAGGCTTAAAAAGTTAGGCCTGCAGTATATCATTGTCAACCTTCTGATAAAAAAATCAGCAGCAAAATATGTTTAAAATAAAGTTCATGGTTGTAAAAAAAATTGATTTCAATAATCTTTTTCAATTATTATTTTAAATCTACTTTATGTTATGTTTCACGCCATATTATCAGACCACCTGGGTCCACCTTAAAGGGACATTATGGAAGTTTGACAGCCAAAACATGTATAGAAATAATAAATTTCTTCTTCATACATTCTCCTGCAATGCCCTCGTCCTGTAGAATGAGCCCTGGCATTTTTACTGTGATTGCCAGTTTTTCTGTAAAATCACAGAAAAAGAGAGCTGCTCGGGTCGAGCAGGCTGCTTCAATTCAAATTAAATTCAATTCAATTCAAATTCAAAAATACTTTATTAATCCCAGAGGGAAATTTATTAATTAATTTATGCACGAACACGCTTAGGCATAGCCCGTAGCATTTGCTATCCGCAGCTTTAGCAGCAGAGAGCAAGGTAGTGCCACTTTGTCGCTGTTCCTAACTCCTATAACTCCTAGTGACAAAGCTAGCTACATTTCTGAGGACCCTTAGCTACTTTCTGTAGAACTTTCTTCTAGATATTTCCTGCAAATTAGCAACAAAATAGCCATTTTTGCTCTGAACCGTTCTTTGAACATTGTTTCAGCTGTCATCAAGGATATAAATGTTACAGATACAAAGGACAGTACTGGCGCTTTAGCTCATCTAGTAAGATGTCGGACTCCCATGCAGAAGTCCTGGGTTTGATTCTGGATGTGAACATTGTTTATTAGAGTTTCTTTTTTACATTAATGGTATATTTTTTTACAGTAACATGCCCAAATTTTTATTTGAGACTCGCCGAACGGCATTGAATTGACAGATAAAAAAGATGTGGGTTCAAGTTTCATTTTGGAACAATTTTTCAAGCAAGGGAAGGGATTGATCTGAGCATGCAGGAGGACTGACCCATCTTAAACCTTTGTCGGCTGTGTTGAAGAGAAAGGTACAAAACCAAATTATTTAATTAATTAGCTGCGCGTTCTCCTGTCCTCTGTCCTCCGGGCCACACACACACACACACACACACACACACACACACACACACACACACACACACACACACACACACGCACACAAACACACACACACGCACACACACACACACACACACACACACACACACACACACACGCACACACACACACAAGGGACTGTCTCAGCTGTTATTTTCTTTAAGGAGTGTGCACGTACAGCATGCGCGCCTCGTGCACGAGCCTACTATTGAAGCTGCCGTTATGCTTTTGGCCTGAGGGGGCAAGTGCGAGCATAAAAATTCAAAACTCCGTAAAGTCCCTTTAAAGAGCAAGTCACATCAAAATCAACTTTTTTTAGCTGAATACTAGTATTAATGAACGTCCAATAGTGTTGTAGACATGTATAGTTATTATTTTTGCATTTTGATGCATTTTCTTTGAAAACTCTAAATTCTGTGACACGTGACACATAGCGCACCTGGTCGCGAGTCTATAAATTACGCGCCAATAGCTACGTTCGGGTCTCCCGGGATCTTCTCGCCCGAGAAGTTCCGAGTGACCCCTGTGACTGGCAGTCATCCAGGAACTCACAGAACCATAGTTACACCGTAACTTCCGTTCTGTTTCGTTCCCTCCTGACTGCCAGTGGCAGTAAACAGAGTGGATGACTTATGCCAGAAGTGTCACGAGGAACATAAAACTCACTGTCACTCAGGAAGTAGCCGCCAGAGGCAGCACCGCCGAAGCGAGCGCGGATCCGTGACCAACGTTGAGGCGGTAGAAGCGTGCAAACGTGTACGGAGTTGCCCAGGACGCCGCAGCACAGACGTCCGCCAGTGGCACACCTCTCATCGCCGCCCAGGATGTAGCAACACTCCTGGTGGAATGGCACACGATCCCAGGGGGAGCCACTGCACCCACTGCCGCATAAGCCATCGCAATGGAATCCACAACCCAATGCGACAGCCTCTGCTTCGAAAGGGCCCGACCCCTGTTCACACCTCCGTGACAGACAAACAGCTGGTTCGACTGCCGGACAGTGTTTGTGGCCACAATATAGAGCTGCAGTGCCCGGACCGGGCACAGCAAATTCGCCCGTCGTTGTTCCTCCGAATGAAATGGGGGAGGAAAATACGCCCCCAGCTCGATTGCGGCATTTACGTAGCCAGCGGGCAGAACCTTGGGAAGAAAGGCAACGTTAGGCCACAGCGTCACCCCCGACCCATCTGCCTTCCACCGCAGGCAGGCGGGGCTGATGTCCAGTGCGTGCAGCTCACTGACCCGTTTAGCTGACGTCACTGCCAAGAGAAAGGCGGTTTTCACAGACACCACTGCCAATGGGGCGGTAGTCATTGGCTCAAAGGGTGGCCCACACAGGGCCTGCAGGACCAGGGGAAGGTCCCAAGCAGGTGCCGGCCTGCACAAGGCAGGACGCAACCTTCTCACGCCCCGCAGAAATTGGGCCACCAAACAGTGAGCCCCAATGCTCCTGCCATCCACCAAGAGGTGGTTGGCCGAAATAGCCGCCAGGTGTACCTTAAGGGTCGAGGCGGCCCGGCCCTTGTCAAACAGGTGCCGGAGGTACCGCAGAACCTTATGCAGGGAACAAGAACCAGGGTCCACGTCCCTGCCGGAACACCAGGTAGAGAACCGCTGCCAACAGCGAGCGTACGTGGCCCTTGTAGACGGAGCCCTGGCACTATCCAGCTGGATGGAGGGCTCTAAGCCGACTGGGGGCTGCCTGCCCCTTTCAATGGCCACACCGTGAGCCGAAGATGATCTGGGGACGGATGCCAAATCCTCCCCTCCATCTGAGACAGGAGGTCTCGTCTCGCCGGCAACCGCCACGGCTCTCCGTTCAGCAGACTGAGAAGCAGTGGAAACCAGATCCTCATGGGCCAGTCTGGCGCCACCAGAAGGACCTCGTGTGACGAGTCCCTCACCCGATGGAGGGTTGGTAAGATCAACGGAGAAGGCGGGAAAGCGTACAGCCGAACCAACGGCCAGGCATTGGCGAGGGCGTCCATCCCCAGAGGGGCGTCGGCCTCTGCCAGGGAGAACCACGAGGGGCAATGCGTGCTGCTCCTCGAGGCAAACAGATCCACCTGGGCCTCTCCGAACTGATGCCACACACTCTGCACCACCTGAGGGTGCAACCTCCATTCCCCCGGGGGAAGACCCCGCCGGGACAGGCAATCCGCCACCGAGTTCCTCCACCCCGGAAGGTGCAGCGCCCTGATGGAGGCCAAGCGAGGGTAAGCCCAGGTCAGCAGCGTCTGAGCCTCCCTCAACGATCGCAATGACCTGGTGCCCCCCTGATGGTTTATGTGGAACACCGCCGAGGTGCTGTCCATTCGGATGAGCACGTGCTTGCCCCGCAGAAAGGGCAAGAAGCGCCTCAGTGCCAAGTAGACGGTCTTCAATTCCAGGACATTGATGTGAAGCCATGCCTGACGGGGGCTCCACAACCCCTGGACCGACCTGCACTGCCAATGCGCCCCCCACCCCCGGGGTGACGCATCCGTCGTGACCACCTCTCGTCTGGCGGGAACCGCGCCAAGCGGGACACCGAGACTCAGGTAGGCGACATCGTCCCAACGACACAAAAGAGCCACACAGCTGCTCGTGACCTCCAGCTCCAGCCCCGGTGGCGCCGGGGATCCAGGCGGAAGCCGTTGAACCACCTCTGCAAGGGCCGAAGGTGGGAGTAGCCCGAGAGGCACCAGTGCAGAAGCCGAGACCAGCATCCCCAACAGTCGTAGCCATACCTGGACCGGGAGTGCCGCCCCAAGGCGAAAGGCCCGGAGCA